CTTCGTAGAGAAATTTCTTTTTAAACATATTAACATATAAATAGCTAAGCAAATATTACTTGATTCAGATAACCTAATATCCACAAAAAACAAGAGAGTTCTTTACCTATAAAATATAGTCAACACTCACTTAGACACAGTAGCATCCAACGGTGCATTTCTAAATGCCCACATACAGTGTTGACTCAAAGAATCCCCTACTGACTGTAATTAATGCTGACATAAATCTGGACAGAGAAATGGCAATGAAATCAATGGGCTGTTTTCACAATTAAAAATGTTGGTCCAAGCAGTCAGAACATTTTTCTGTAGAAACATTCTAAAACCTTGTCTGTGAGTTCTAGGACCAAGAAGCCAGTTTTACTTATATCCTTAAAATTATTACTATTACATACATCAGTAACTGATTCATAGATCAAAAGCACTCAGCAAAACTTCATTCAATCAAAATGGAGAGAATATGAAAGAGAAAATTGTTCTCAAAATATAACAAAAGAACAAATAACTATGTCCATTAAATTTGGTTCCTGTGCACAATATAGAACAGATTGTGAAAACCAGTCAACATGTTTGAGATGAAAAACATCCATTTTAATCAGAAAGAGTAGCAAACATTAAGCAAAACAAATACTAGTTAAGAAAAACTGTTTAATCTGGTTCATAATACACACAAATCTCTACTTTAGTCACAATTTTTAGATTTAAAAAATTAGCATAACCTTGCTAAGAGAATTCAATTAAAACATAGTGACTTGTTTTACTGTCCCTTTCAGCATGGCTCCATTAATGCCTGTTGTTTATCTACACAAATAAAGAACAGCCTGAGAACTGCCCTAGTTTCTTTGAGAGTTATCAACTGAAGCTAATGTTTCCTTAGTGAGAAGGCCACTCTAAAAGAGTGCCGTGAGCCTGGCCAGTTTCCCTTGCTATTTACACAGACACAAGCCCGATCTGCAGCATGGGCAACAACAGCTTTGCCATAGAATCTGAGTGTCCTTAAAATGATGTGTCTGCACAGTCTCCATTATGCTCATCTGCTCAGCTCAAAATAAAGGGCGGCCTTTCTCCCCAATAAACAGCAAGCTTCAAATGAGTTAAATCATACATTCTAATGGATGGCGGCCTGATGACAGAGTAAAGCTCCCTTTAAGGGTAGCATTAGCTTCTTCCCCCTTGTCCCATTCACCTCTGCATTACCCCTACAGTACAGTGTCTTGGACATACAGACGTGCAATACACGGAGCCCCATGTCTTTCCCCAGAGTACTCCACCCATATCTCTGAACTAAGTTACCAGTACAATGTACAATTGCTCCCTTCAACCCAGACACATGAAAGGACGTGTGAGAAATCACCATTCTAAAGCTTTACTAGAGAACTAGAGTGTGTTCCCCCCACATGCCACCCCCAAGTGTGTGTTGTGAAAATCTTTCTTTACTTCTGCTTGATAAGGAGAGGGTTATGAAAAATATAATGGTCCCTGCACAGCTAGCACCTAGGAAACAGCCAAAGCATATACCCTCAACGACACGTCGATTGCTGAACATTCTCTTGAGCCTCAGATGCTGGTACTAGTGATGGTTAGTACTACAGGGTCAGAAGAGGGAACTCAAATGGTAGGAATAAAGGATAACCCTGAGACAACAAAAATCTGACACTGGTTTTGAACCCATACTGTATCTAGTCAAAACCATTCAATAGGCCACATTAAATAGCTGAAACATGTTGACTGTTTCACCTCAATTTATTTTCTTTTTTTTTCCTTTTAAGATTTATTTATTTTGGGGAGGGGGAGAAAGAGTGAGAGTTTGCCCGCGTGCGCATGCACACACACACACACACACACACACAGAGAGAGAGAGAGAGAAGGGGAAGGGGCAGAGGAAGAGAGAGAATCTCAAGCAGACTCCACACGCAGCTCAGAGCCTAACTTGGGGCTCTCTCTCACGACCCTGAGATCATGATCCTTGCTGAAGCCAAGAGTCAGATACTGAACCCACTGAGCCCTCATTTCACTTCAATTTCTTATCACCAGGTAAGTATCTTAACAGGCAAATTACAGCAGACAGCTTCATAGGATGTTTGCACATAAACAGAATATCTCTTCCTGATAAAATACATGTACACCAAGGCTGCAGTCTTGTTCCGCACTTAACACCACTGGTTTCATTAGGGGGATGAACCCAGTCACCAAAAGGACATTTATTTGTTAGTAACATTTTTTGTAACAATGAAGATACAACTCAAAAAAGTTTTGAGCAAAATGGTATATACAGATATGCCCTACCATATAACCTCAACATGATTATCCACAAAAAGTGCTAGAATCATATCTACTATTACATACCATGTGCCAAAATCTCCATTTATAAAAGAGATAAAAATCTTTCTTAAATACTGAATATCAGTAAGATTTATTCAAAAACAATGAATTCAAGGTGGATCACAGACCTAAACATAAGCTAAATCCATGAAGCTCTCAGAAGAAATTTCAGGATGCATGGGGGGGGGAGGGGATTGGTGAAGGTTTCCTAAAACACAGAAAGCAATAACCATTTTTTAAATTGACACATTAGATTTAATCCTATTTAAAACTTGTGATTATCAAATGACACTGCTAAAAAAAACAACTGGAGGAAAATCCTGGCAAAATAGAAATCTAAAAAAGAAGGACTGGTATATAGTCTCTATAAGGAACTCCTACACTCAATAATAAAATGTTCCCAACAGCTTGTTTATAACACAGCCTGTTTTGGAGGGGAAAGCTCAACAGGGGAAAAGGAGATGCTGGCAATTTCTCTCCTACAAAGAATAAAGGGTTAGTAGCTAGACTGCGTAGAAGACTACTTGAGGGAGAAGACAGAAAATAAAAACTAGACAGGTGCCAGGACAGTCTGAACTCCTAAAAAACACATTGTACACAGTGCCAGTCAATGCACATTTAAAAGAAATCTGGATTTAAAGTGGCAGTTTTGTTGTCGTATTACACTGGTTTCAGAGAGCTTCTATCCAAATTTAATGCTGGAAGCAATAATTCTTATTTAGGTTTATTCAATTCTCCAACTCAAGAAGCATGTATTTGCATGGAAAATATATTTAACTTAAAAAACTAGATTCAAATCATATCACAATTTAGATATTATCTGTTCTGCCTAAAAATAAACTTTAACTCCTTTACAGCAACAGGCCAAGAAAGTAAGGATGCAAAGTAATACAAAATGGTGCATGGTTACCAATAATTTTTAAAGGTTTTCAACCATAATCCCTGAACTGTGATTTTATATAATTATACATTTGGTTCTGTCTAGACATGTTAGATTGGTAAAGCATACCACCCTACCCCACAAGCACTGGCAGACCAATATATAATAAACAGTTATGCACTGTAGCATTATAAGACATGAAATTGATAGTTATGTTTTTATGTTTTTAAAATGTAGATGTTAACCACTTGAAACAGTAAGAATTTTTGACACTGCAAGGGTATTTTGGTTTTGTTTTGGTTTTGTTTTTTTTTTTTCAAGTTTGTATTTAAATTCCAGTTAACATATAACGTAGTAGTAGTTTCAGGAGCAGAGTTCAGTGATTCATAACTTACATATAACACCCAGTGCTCATCATAAGTGCTCTCCTTAATGCCTAGCCCACATCTAGACCCTCCCCCATCTACCTTTTTTTGTAAGAATCTCTCTTATGGTTTTATCACAAGTTTTTCTAATGCAAATCTAAACATGTTATGAATGATGGATTGGTTAATGTGTACCTATACTTTCTCATTTGATTTACCCTTCTCTCTGCAATTTGACCAACAGTGCGTAAGGGGTGCTTTGTTGCTATTCATGCGCTGCCCTCTTGGCACAGTTATACCACACAAGAACTTGAGATGCTGTTTCGCACAAAAATTTTTTTTAAAGATTTTATTCATTCATTCATGAGAGACACAGAGAGTGAGAGGCAGAGACACAGGCAGAAGGAGAAGCAGGCTCCCTGCAGGGAGCCCTATGTGGGACCTGACCCCGAGACTCTGGGACCACGCCCCAAGCCGAAGGCAGAGGCTCAATCACTAAGCCACCCAGGCGTCCCTGTTTCATACAAGTTAACAAAATAAATATCTAAACTCCAGGGTTCAGTCTCAGAGGACTGTTAGAACCTGTTCAAAATAAACTGCCAGTTAAAAAGGAATACCTCATGTGAAAACTAAATGATACACTTTTTAGCTGTAAAGGGGAAAAACCATACAATTTCTAAGTACTGTTAACACCACCGTAAATGAAAGAGTTTTGACCAGAGTAGCTAAGATGTCAAACCAACAAATATTGTTACATAAATGATTAGTGATAACTAAAAGTATGTTATTTTAAGCTAAAACAGGGATATATCCTATCCCCAAAATATGTGAAGAGAGAAGCATAAATACACAGAAAGAAAGAGAAAAGAACAATTCAACATTGAAACAGACAGATGAAGGTTCAAATCCTAGCCCAGCCACGGATGAGTAATGAGACCTTGTCAAAATCATTAGCCTTACACATAACGCAAAGATATCGGTCAACATCTCACAGGATGATGTCGAGATTCAATGAGATCATGGAGGCAAAAGTCTGGCAAATTTCTGAGTACAAATTATTCAATAATGGTTACTCTTATAGTTAAAATTTCCTCAATAAGGATTTGGAATTGCTAAAAGGCTGTAATGTAGAAGAAACAAAGTTCATCATACAAAAAAATGCCAATTAAAGATTTGTAGTTTAGGAATTTTATCTCATGGTCCCAACAACACTGCAGGAAACTGACAGAATTTTAAACTTTAAACTAGCAATAGTGTCAGAGGGAATAGGTTCTTCTCCTTTCCTTCTGGTCCAAACAATTTAAGAAAAGGGGGAAAAAACAGAAAACAATCATTCAGAATCAACCATTATAGGCAATTATTCATGTGATCAAATAACTGCCCACATCCAATCGTAGCTAACGGTAAAACTGTTTCAACATAAAGTCACAAACCTGCACACTCTGTTCCTCTTGCTTGTAAACCAGCTTGACGCAGTTACACTACAATGATTTTCTGGGACAGGCTGCAGCTAACTGAGCAAGTACCTGTGCATGCTAAAAATATGAATTTAGTAAAAAGTCACAACATTCTGTTTCATTTAATTCTTCATTCGTGTTCCACTCATGAAGGATCGATCAAGTTCTGTGCCAGGCTCTGCCAAATATTTACAGGATAACAAGAGCAATTCCTGCAGGGGAAAGGGCATCTATGAAACGTGTAAAGAGGCACAGCCGATGATGTCCTGGCTCACACAAAGCACGTTTTAAACCACCAGAGTGAAAGGGCAGATAAAGGTAGAAATTGGAGTGACAGAGCCAAAAGTAAAAGGGGCTTTTGCCTAACCTTCATTCTAAACATCATGGTTTTCCAACATATACCACTTTTTGTTGATAAAGTAAATTTCTTAAATTTTATTTACAGTACTCATTTAATTGGCATATTTATTCAGAGTTATAAAAAGATAAACTCTATAGTATCCCAGTGAGATACCAATTTTTAAGTACCCATATTCTGTCTGCCCTTCAAGAGTAGTTCCAGGACCACCTTCTCCAGAGATCATTTCTTGATAGCTTCAGCTGAAAGTTGTCATTTGTCATGAATTCCTATAGCATTTTGCCTACAACGAACTACCAGTTTCCCTTTCTACCTCATATTTAAGTTTCCTTCCTAGACATCTCATATGTCCATAAAAACTCAGGCTCCCAGGGAACAGGCTCATATATGATTTCCCTAAGGCAGAGAGCCCTGCAAGAGCTGCAAAGTTCAAAATAAACATTAACAAGTGCAAGGTTTTGTTCCTTTAAGATTGAAGCTCAGTCATAAATTTCCGTAACTTTATCACCACTACTGATAGTATTATATTTACTTAAAAACGTGTCTCTAATCAGGGTGATTGCCTGAAAACCTTGACACCATATGAGAAAGAATGAAGCTAGAAGAACAACTTTCTCCGTAAAATACCCTACTTGGTCTTCAAATGAGATTCAAACACTACCGGCTCCATTTTTACACATTACTGGTGCCCCCGGGACATCTAAAGAGTTGATAGAGTTGTTCGATTTAAACCAAAGGCCCTAAACACTATAATTTTCCATCACATAATCATAAAATCAGGGTTAGGAAATTTCCACTCACCCTTGTCATGATGAGGCCTCCATTAGCCTCGTTCAACCTCAACTTCCTCACATATGAAATGGGTATAACATTCCCTGTCTCACTATTGGTGAGGGTTAAATGACAAAACATGGATGACAATGCCTGCCATTGAGCCTGGTTACACAGGACTTGCTCAGTATCAATGATATTTCAAGATGGCAGGCTGAAGTTCTACCACGAAGTCTCTCTACACTAAGATCAATAATTTGATAATTCACAGATCTCTTAGTTTCATAATCAAAAAAAAATTCAATACTAAAAGCTGAGAACTTTTCTCCAAATATTCTGTGTAGCAATTAGACCAGCCTTAAGTCTCAAATACACTTTCCACCTGCATTAAATTTACTTGCAATTTTCTACTGTGTGAGATTATTTTAAAAGTTATTCTGAATAAAATGGGATGAGTCATTCTTAATATACTGGTCTGAAGAAAATCAGTGCATTAAAGCCAGTAAGTTTTTCCTTTTAGATTTCTTAAATTGAATTATTTGGCCAGCATTTTAAATGTTGTGAAATAAACAGGTAACTTGAAATATTTCACAATTTTAAATCTTGCTCTAATACAGAATAGAAAACCACATAAATTGGATCATCAAGCAGCAAAATTTACATGGGTGATAAGTTGTATCTATTAGGGACTACCCGCTTAAATGATGCAGAAGGATCAATGCTGGGTCTGACAATTAAAGAACTTGAGAGTACAACATGGCAGAGGAAGATAACAGTTTGTTACTATTAAAATGAAGTCCATTAGCACAAGATTTAAAACGTAAGATTTCTCCAGAAGGGAATTGATTCAAATCAAAGTGCAATTTCTCACTAGTCCTCAGGAAAATGCAAGCTAAACACTAGTATTCAGGAAAATGCAAGCTAAACAACAATGGATACCACTCCATATCCACTAGAATGGCTGAAAGTAAAAAATAAAAATAAGTGTTGTTGAAGACACGGAGCCACTGGAACTCTCAAACACTATGAGCAACAGTGAACTGGTGCAACTACTTTAAAAGGTTCTGTGTTATCTACTAAAAATGAACACATATCCAGCCTCAGTAACACACTCCTAGGTACAGATGCCCAAGAGAAGTGTACACATAGGTGCCCCAAAAACAAATACAGGAAGGCTCGTAACAGCATTAGTTACAATAGCAAAAACTGAAAGAAAAAAAAAAAAGAACAAACCAGAAACAAACAAAACAGATGTTTAGTAGTAAATAAATAAATTGCAGTATAGTTACATGTCAAAATACTACATGGGGAGAGAGGAGCTGTCATACCCACAAATATAATATTGAGCAAAAGCAGCCAGACTAAGGAGTATATTGCTATATTATCCCATTGAGGGGGGGGTAATTTTTTTTTTATTGGAGTTCAATTTGCCAACATCTAGCATAACACCCAGTGCTCATCCCGCCAAGTGCCCCCCTCCCATTTTTATAAAGTTCAAAATCAGACACAACTAGCCCATGGCAATAAAAGTCAAGGTTACTTTTTCTTGTACTGGGGAGGGGTGGGAAAGGGTAATAAAATGAAAGAAAACATGAAGGAGCTTTTGAAATTTGATAATATTCTAAATTTTTAATTGAATTAATGGTTATACACGTTTTGGGTTTGCAAAAGTTTATCATTGGTAAAATGCTTAGAGTCTGTGTGCTTTTTCTATATGCTTGTTACACTTTATTTTTTTCTATTTATAAGAAAAAATCAAGGTATTCATAAGTGTATGTATCTATGTATTTTATGTTAAGGATAAAGACACAGTTCTTTTTATATTTGGAAGAACAGACTTTTTTTCTTCATAAAGTTGGCACTGTGTACAATTCCTAACATGCATTTTTCTTACTATACCATGACTGCTTTGTCTTCTCTCAAATATTTTAGAATGTAAATTTTTATGGATGCATTGTTGGATACAGTATTGAACACACCCATAAATTACTGCACATCTTTTCCAAAACTTTGCCTTCATAAGCAATGTGCAGTGAACAGCACTGTACAGACATGTTTGTACATGTTCTCTGCTTCATGAAGACAAATTCCTAGAAATAAATCCCTAGGGCCAAATTATACATTTAAACATGATAAAAGTGTACAAGAACTCTGGAAAATTTTTCATCAATATTGTTTAAGAAATCTTACTAATCATTAGCTTACACTTCACTACGTGAAAAACTTGGTTACCCAGAATAAATAATTTCTCTGAAGTTTTGCTTAATTAATAGCCTCCTCTTCTCACAAAAATTTTAAAGCATTTCATATAAATGGGTATAGAATCTTGGAGAAAATACTTTCTGGCTATAAATGGATACCCTGAGAAATAAATCTATTGACATCAGTACAGGACTGACACCCCCCCCCAAAAAAAAAAAAAAACTTCAATGAAGTCCCCAAACAGAAATATAACAGAATATAAAACCAAACAAAATGTGATATATATGTATTTTATGTTACACACATACAGAAAAATTCTATAAGGGTATTTAACAAAATGTTAAAATACATTGCCAGGTTTAGGAGTTAGGTGATTTTTACTTTATTTTTTTTTTACCTTATTTTTTAAGTTTTCTTTTATTGCTTACATTATTTGCGATGAACAGTTATCATTGTTAAGATTAAAAAATAAGCTAGAAGATCTGAAATTAAGTCCCCTGATTAAAATAAGACAACAACATCTTCTTCCCTGTTCACAAAAACAAATTAAATTGGCAAAAGAAAATTTTCTCAGTTTTAAGATGTTTCTCCCATACGCTTTTCATGAATCTTCTGGCCTCTGACACAGGGTTTTTCAACAAAGCACAGACAGGAGAACAAGTAAGGAAAGGATACCAGAGGGAAACTGGCACCCCCACAAACACACAAAAAAAGTCATGCTCAGTTGAGATAGCTTGCCACCTCACCTTTAAACCTGAGCCAGGGCTCCTGACTTGACTTCACAAAGGTGGTCATTTTCTGTTAATAAAGTCCCTCCCAGTTTCTAAGATGGAATTAAATATATTGGTATTTCCTGGTTTGCTATCAAAATACCATTACTTACAGGTACTCTATATTTGAACAAGAATAAGGACCTAGAGACTTCCCTGTTGCCAGAAGTGTAGCCTCAGGTCTAATGTTGGTTATATCCTAGAGACCCACACACAAAGGTTCCTTCCACTCCCTAGGAACACAGGAGTAAGTTACTCACCATTAGAATTTTACCCATTATCTCAATTACCCTTCCTTAAGAGGACTAAGCTCACTTCATTTGTTCAGAGGGAAACAAAAGCCAATTGGAGTTTTCTCTCCTAGCCAATCAAATCATCCACAGTGAGTTACAAAATTGAAACCAGAATTAGAATCCAAATTTCCTGATTTCTTTCTTTAAATTTGTATCTTGCTTATTAACAGTAATTAAGAACATGGCTTTAGCAAACCAAAGATCAAACCCTCGGATTAAAACAGCAGCAGCTTTCTTGGTGTCCCTTTGGCTCCAACCACCGAGAAAGTTACTCAGTCTTGACTCAACCAGAAACACTCCTACTTTGGAATAGGCTGACTCAAAGAGTAAATACCCCACTGATAATACTGGCCTGTTCTCCCATCCTAACATCAAACAAAACAAAACTAAGAGAGTAAACAGCCACAATGTGTTGTCACTTTTTTTTTTAACAATTGGATTTTAAATAGAGGCTATTATGAAGAGCCTCTTGGCTACAGTTCAAAGGAAAAAGAATATCCTAATTCAAAAAACATTTTCAGCTTCCCCGAATTCCACTTCTTTCAGCCAATTTTGGAAAGTTCTCCTCATCTCAACTAGAAAATTCGTGTTATACTTGTTTTAAATGTCCAGCAGCTCTTCAAAATACAGAATCCCAGTGGCTAGAGTTAGCACAAAGGCCATTTCAAGTGTATC